CATTTTAGCTTCCACAGCTTTGAAACCGTGTGTACAACAGCTTTCTGTAGCAGTTTGATAATGTTATCTTTTGTGCTTGCACTCAACTCCTTTATTTTCTGCTTGCCACTCTCACTCTCTCACCACCTTCATCTATCCCACTCTTGTCTCTCTGTCCCCTTTTCTTCTTCTCCACCTCAATCACCTCCTCTTTCATGCCTCCTTTTTTCATTTTTCGTTCGCTCTTATCTCTCTAGTCGGGTGGATCGGTGCAGGTCAACAGATGACCCTAATGAAGAGTGGTGGAACAGGTGGGTAATAATCATTTACAAACATCTGTGGTGCTGCTCTGCCAGAGTGTGTTTCTGATTGGTGTGTAGCTGTGTTCTTGTGTGCATAATGTGTATGTGAGTGTACAGAATTATGCATGTGCATTTATTGTGCGCACATGTTAATTTAAGTCTTTAAATCACCTCTTTAATGCATAACACCTGCTCCATTTTTGCCTGTCACAAACATGCAGGATGCCACAGACAGAAATAGAACATAATTTTCTCTGAAAATTACTAAGAGTTTAACATAATGAACCTGACTAGTGTTGCAACCTGAAAAAGCTCTTTATTGAGTCTGTAATGAGCTTCACTCGGTCCCAATGGAAATAAATGTGCATCTGTGTGTGGTTGTGGTGTGGTGGTGTGTGTGTGTGTGCGCGCGCGTGTGTAGGTGTGTGTGTGTGTGTGTGTTCACAGAAAAAGGAAAATGTACGCAGACTTAACTGAAGTGCAAAGTCTGTTTATCTTCTATTGGTGGACCAGTATTTACTAGCACTTATTTAGCCTAAAGTGAAGTAGCATCTTGTCATTAAACACTTTAATAATTTGTGTATCATCTGTTTATTACTAATGTACAGCTTGTGATTCACTTCAATAAACGCATCAACACCTGAGGTAGATGGGTGATAAACAGTGAGATGTGCTGCATAATAAGGTTCAATAAAACATTATGTTTTCTCCAGCAAAGAAGGGGCCACAATTTGCTGTTGCCGCTTTTCTTTAAATACACGTTAAACAAATCTGACATTGAGATGAAGTTATTTCTTGTTTGCATATCATAATATTGCCCTGTGTTGTTTCTACACTTGGCTCTGCAGCCACAGTGATTCATCCCTGCGTAGACAGAAATGTGTGGAAGTGTGTTGCTGTCTGTCTCACTTTGTTTTTCATATCCCATTATTATTCAGAATGGATGGCGACAAAAATGGCCTTTCTGTTTTAACGGTCTTAACAAAGGATGACAATGCTAAAACATGTCAGTAAAGTCAGCCAGTCCAGACTTCTCTGTCAGTCACCTGGCTCATTTCAGACCTGTGCAACACATGGCCAGCCTTGAAAAAAACAATGAAATATATAAGGACAGACACAATGAATCAGTGGCCATAAATAATACAACCAGCTGACACTAACTCAGAACTCAGTCTCACACTGAATATGAGACTAAATGACTTGAAGTTGATATTGCTCTATATAATAGTCATCAAGACACTGAGATACATTTCAAATGTCTGTTTGTGCTGTTCCCTTATGTTTATCAGGGCAAGAGTGGCGACAGAGTCGGCTTCTTCCCTGCCAACTTTGTGCAGAGGGTCCGGCCAGGAGAGAGAGTGTGGCGGGTTGTCCAAGGCCTTCCAGGCAACCGAGAGAGAGGACATATGGCCGTGAGGGAATCCCAGGTACACCAGTATTATCATACTGTCACTGTTTTTATTTTTTGGTTCCTCTCATTTATGTTTACAACCCCAAACTACACTGACATTTTGGGAATCTGAATAATTTGTCACCTTGTTAAGTTTGTGATAAGGTTCTATCTGTCTATTTGTGGTACCAAATTTATCCTGTGCAGAGTTGCAGGGGGCTGGAGTCTATCCCAGCACACACCGGGTGAGAGGCGAGGTACATCCTGGTCAGGGTGGGATCAAAAGATTGGCACCAAAATTATCTCTGTGTCTGTGTGTCGATACTATAAAGCTCATCATTTCCACTTTAGAGACCTTGAGCAAGAAAATGCATATATATATTTTTTAATTTTAATTTAAATACATTTTCAACCACAATTTATATCCCTACTCCCAAAACTTGAGTTTCCTCAGCACAAGAAGCTGTGCACAGACACCATAGTTTATAGAGTATTGTAATTACAAAATAAATAGAATCGGTTGCTGATTATGCTCCAAAACCATCTAAGTAAGTTAAAATAATGGATTGTGTTATAAAATAGTGTTTACCTAGATTTTGCATTATTATTATTTGTGATTAATTCTGACAAATCAATTACAATGAGTCAGTGCAGGCAACTGGCATTAACTGACAGCGTGTTAATTCATTCTGTTGGCAATGTTCATGCAAATACATGTATCAATAGAAAGATTATATACTTAGACACATTTTTTCTGCCAGAATGGATACACGTGTTACCTGTTGGCAGGAAACAAGTATATACTCACCTATGTTCTTGGAGGTCTATTAATGTGTCAAATACCAATAGAAATCATTCTTGACAGGTAAATCCGGTCCTACATTTTAGTATCTGTTACTTCACAGACAATAGAGCAACTCAGTTTCTGTCTCTTCCTTTTAGATCTGTGTGGGAAAGCTAGAAGACGGTGAGGTGTTCCTGAAGCTGAGCAGTGGAAAGAAGAGAGGTCTGGTCCCAGCTGACTCTATAGAGGAGATCTGAGCCCTTGTGTGCACATCACCATCCTTCTACTTCCACTTCCCCCTGGGACGCACCCATCTTCAAACTATCACCACCACCCCTCCCCCATCCTCCCCTCGGCACAAAGATAGCCGCAGCCTCTCCAACCAGTCCTGACTGACTTTAACCAAACACAGATAAACTGGATGAAAAACAAACATGAAAAACCTTTGCAAAGAGCTGGGACCACAGATGATCAGTTCAATTGGTTTACTGTCTTCAATAGAGTCTTTAATAGAGTGTACAGTTATGGAGTAATCCTTCTCTTAGAAAAGAACTGTTCTCAGCAGTCTAGCGTTGCTGTAGGTTTATCTTTCCGATACAAAAATCTATGTTTAGTTAGACAAAGGGTGCGCAAGTCAAAAATGCTTCAAATATGCTTGCTGGATGCCAGTTCACATTTTGTTTTTCCTCATCAAAACGACGTCTACCAACGTGGGAGGAGGCTGAGTTCTGTAATGGGAACATGATGCTCAGTGTCCTTTTCTTGTTTCTACCCACTCCATATGTCTCATCCCTATCTGCTCATGTCAGGGTCTCTGGCCTGGGGACTGATACCAGCTTCATGTAGACTGGTACACGGCATGAGGCACTCGCCAAGGACAGCCACTGCCAGCCAGAGAAAGCTACTGCCACTCAGACAGACCGGAGAATCAGATGAAAGGAGTGCACACAATCCAAAAATCCCCAGCAGTGTCAGGCTGAGTTATAACTGCACTTGCTAACTTGGGAGAGCAGCAATGAGAAGATTTTCAAAGGACAATTGGAAGCTCTGAGGATCTTTTCACAGGAAACTCAAAAGCTTTTTCTCCTGACTTTTTCAGTGTTGGTAACTCAGAAAGATCAGCAGTTTTAAGAAGAGATTATGCAAGAGAAAGCTAAAGGAGATGAGATTAAACTTGCGTGTGAGTCTCGCTAGGAAAACTGGGAGGACCATCTCTCCCTCGTTTGGCTGGTTGTCATGAGCAATGAGCAAAAAAAGTGTCAAAATCTCAAGTGTAGCAGTTACAAGTGGCAGGAACTGTTCTCCTGTTTTCATATAAAAGAGCTCGGCAGGCATAAAAGGGTTGGTCTTTGAGTAGACTGACTGAAGAGTCGCAGCGGGTGTTGCATGTGTTGAACAGCATTTTAACATGACTTCACCAGAGCTGGAACAGCGGGGAATAAACTGCAGCCAGTCTGCCAGAAAAACAACACAATGGGGATCTTTCTGACCACGACAAGGAGTCTAAGTTTCACTGACAGTTTGGAGAAGGACACAAGAAAACAGAGGGTGGAGGAGGTGCAGTGAGAGGAATGACATCAGTGTTGAAGCGTTATGAGTCAGTGTGTGCATGCAGGTAGTGTTGTACCCATGGGTGCAACGAGTCATCATTGATCAAATGTCAGTCTGTCATCTTCATCTTCCACTCCCTGTTTGGTCTCTCTTGTCCTTACTTTATTGTTATGACTGATCAGTTATGACATAAAGTGAAGGCATTTTTTTCTTGTAGGTCCTGTAAGTATACATTTGATGGTTTCTTCCATCGATTCATTCATTACTTATTTAACAAATGTGATGCATTTCTTTGAAAGAACACCTTGTTCCAGAGAGAGGATACACACACACGAACATAAATGTAGGATTGAAGCACAGAACACAACAGTAGATTGATGGCACTACTAATTATGAAATAATTTAACTCATATGTCTTCTTTCAGAGCACAGAGATCTAGCTTACATGTTCCTTCTTTAGTCTACATTTCAATATATGTGAAAGCCTTTAGAGGCTGTGAGAAATAAGCTTCTCTTCTTGTAATATTGAGAATAGCACTTTATTTTGTGTCATCTGAATAATACTTTTAGTTGAGGTATCTCCTTCATAGTGATAGCTGTCATACTTTAGCTGCAACATCACTTCACTTCACTTCACCATTGAGCTCTTTGGGCTGATGGCTTGTCTTTGTACGTCAGATGTTTCTGAAAGTCAAAAAATATCAGAGATGAAAGAAAACTGAGAATTACACAGCAGCAACCATCCTGGAGAAAAACGGTATCAGAGCAGAACTGGATTTATGATTTTACCCATGTAAACACTTTGTTATCTTGCATTGCGCCTAGTTTTATGTAGCGTCACATGTTCACAACTTTGAGAATTCAAAATGTAAAGTATATGTTTGGATGTATCCTGAGTCCAGAGTCATTGGTTGGACACATACCTCAATAAAAGAACTTTACAAAACAGTCTCTGCCCTTTTCATGTGCGCAGTCTGTCACAAGATATGCACACTGGCACTCTGCAGATACTCCTCCATGTGTGTGGGTTTAACATAGGTCTGTATGATAGCAGGCACATAGCTTTTGGTGTTTTTCTATATCTGTAAATATATTCTGGGCCTATTAAACCCAAAGATAGCATGGAGCTTTTAAATAAGGCCGCTTTAATGGCAAGTTTCAGTGGCAGCCATGCATAATGCATCACCCTCCATCCACAAACACACACTGTTGTGCACAGAAGAATGCCAAAATGATGCTCAAAAAACAACCGCAATATAAATATCATGTAACGCTGCTGGATGCAGAATATTTCAGACCTTCTGATTTAATCACACACAGCTACATAAACTAAAGAATCAAGTCAGTCAAAATAAGGAAGCCAACACTAATTGGTTTTCACTGATTTGGTTTTATTTCTACCAAAATTTTAAATTTAATCCTCATTCACTTACTCAGTAGTGAAATTAGTTTGTCACCACAGCAAACTGGCTAGAGCAGTCTGTTCAAGTGTATGTGCAGAGGTGTACTCACAAACTGAAAGACCTTTTTGTATTTTTTTTAGCTCCATATTGCTCTATCAATGACCTTTTCTAAATATTTCCTGGACAGATTGTGCTTTTCCTGAAAGATATATACTTAGCTTGCAAGGCTGCATTTGTATCTGTTGGTTTTTACTCTTTAGCATTTTTCAAGGTTTATACAGAAAGCACTATTCATGCAGTTTGTCTTTATTTTTTCCCAAACAGACGAATGTATTGAATATGAAGATTACCTGTACAGTGTGTATACAAGTGTGTGCCTTCTTTGTTTGAAAGTGAGTTAAGTGGTACTGTAAGTGTTCTGCATTATAAGTCACAGTTGGAGCAGAGCTGTCACTGTTTTGCATCATATAAACTTCTGTTTTAGAGTGTAAACACATAGTGAATTGTTACCATGCAACATCAATACTTAACCTATATATAATCATAAACTCTTCCAAAACATTACTTTGAGAATCTGAGCAATCATAAATGGCTATATACAGAATACTGATAGAGATGTTGAAATCAGTGATTGTTTAGGGGCCTTTTTTGGAGTTCTGAAGGATCCACATTCTGACATGGAGCTGCACTTGCTAAGCTGCTAATGTTTTGACATTACAGTGGATAAACAATGACAACCATTTTCTTTTTTGGCTGAACTTTTCACTTTTAAGGCCAACTCTACACTGTGTATGTTTGATTTTTGAGTGTAAATTTGGGTTTGTTTGACACCAGCTAGCACCAGCTAAACAATAAGTATCTTGACAGTGAGGATCTTTATCTGGTTGATGAAGCGACTGAGTTTTGCCACCAATAGTGACTGCTATACCTCTATTAACGCTTGACAGTGCTGCCCATCTGCTGTGACTCAGAGCACGGCAAGTCCTCTCAAGCTGATGAAACTTTGCCAGTGTGGGAGAGCGTTGTTGAACAGTCTACTCTAATCTTCTCATTTCATTTTTCTGGCTGGATCTACCTCTCTCATTCACTCCCTGCCTTCTTTCTTGCACTTTCACTTTACAGATGTTGACGCAGACCCTCACACTCTCCCCTGTCTTGCACACTCTCTTTTAATCTTCTGGCTCAGTCTCTCTTTCTGTCCCTCTTCCAATCAGTTTCTGTCACTGCCTTCATGCCAATGTCTCTGTTTCTTGCATCAGTCTGGCTGAGTTACACTTGAGGGAAGCAAACAAGGGCATGGCTGTCAATTTTCTTTCCTCTTTTTTCCAGCTTATAATTTTTGATATTACTTATGATTACATTTTATTGTTAAGGAGGCTTTATGTGCACTCACCTCTCCTGATTTTATTATGGAAAAATATGTAAGGAGGTGGGAAAGCTGCTAAAAGTAAAATTGCCTATTAATAATGCCTCATTTCTGCTGGCTGCTCCAGCTCAGCTTGGCTATAACATCAACTTTCTAAGGTAGTAAAGCGACAGGAGGGGGACAATTAAGGCCAGGTGTAAATGTGGTTATTTTTTAAATCTGGCCCAGCGTCATATCTGGCCGACCCTGCACAGACCCTGCAGGGGTTTGCTTGTGCTCCTGTATAATAAATGTCCACTATCATTATTCAGAATGTCCCCTGCTGTTGTTATTACGTCTCATGACCTTTCGAGGTGCCTCCAAGCAAGTGTCACGACTAACAGCCTCTGTGCCTTCTGTCCCGGTCCAGGTGAACATAGAGCCATAACATGAATAGAAAAACACAGAAAGAGCAAGAGAGAGAAAGGAAAAAGAGACAGGTAGGGCAACAGAGAGAGACGTAGAGAGAGCATCAGCTGCTGCTCTGAACATTGTGTTCCTCCTCTTTTATCTGTCATCCATTTGGTTCTTTTTAGTCAACATCAAGCTGTTTGTACTGTGTTTTGCTGTAAGTTCCAGTGTGGTTTGGGTGTGGACCAGAATCACAATATAAGGAATAAGAACAAACTAAACCTTGTTTTCACAGCTATGAGATAGAAGCTCACTACAACTGAACATCTTCACACTGTGCCGAGCTTGGTCGACAGTTCAGCCTCTAACTGATTTTAGCTGGAAATCTAATTCTCAAAATCTAAATGTAATTACTAGTGTAAAACAGTCAGGTTTTCTTCTTGCACATTAGGTATAATGTTATCTCAGAGCTACTGGATGTCAAGGTGACATCCACAGTGGCTGAGTTTTCATCAGAAATGAATGGATTTCAAAGTGAGTCACTGATCAAGCTGTTCAGAGGCTGAATGCCTGGTTACTGTTAAAGAAATAGTTCATATTTTTTAAATTGGGTTGTTTGGTGTACTTACGTAGTGTATACAGTAGACATCTCAAAATGTCAAACCTTCTTTTTGCAAAAGTAAACTGTAGAACAGCTTAATATTTCTCTCATCAGTTAAGCATTTATCAGCACAAAAGTGTTGCTAAGCTTCACAAAAGACAGTCAAGTGTAATCAATGCACAAAAATAATAATTGCTTAATGCCCCTAGAATCAGCAAGTAGAATCATCCAATACAAAAAATCATCAAGAAATACCTTTTAATCAAAGACAAATGACTATCAGTCCATGGCAGCCTTATTCTGTTTTATTGTTTTGTTTCATTTCTAACTAAAATAATGTATTAAAAATCATAACCAGGATTCAATACTGATAATCACTATCGGAACTTATACCCAAACCTAATCCCTCATTTGCACATGACAGCAATGTCAATAATGTAAACTACAAGAATATAAATTAGAGTTATGGAAACGTCACACATATATTTACCATATTCTTCTTCAAATTCAGAGCAAAACAGTTCTGATCCACCCATCTCAGCCACCACCCATCACCCACCAGTACACACACATACACACACACAGAGGCTCTCCCCTCCTTAGTGTTTCTTTTTATAAGTATGCAATTTTCACACTTTCTGTTTCTAGAGGGAGGAAGTGAGCGATTATCAAAGCAAAGCAAATAATGATAAAAGCAGCTGTCAGGGGAATCCAATTGCAAAAATAGAGCTGATTAAATGAATAGTCATTCTAAGAATAGCAGGTAATCACAGGTTGCCAAAACACACACACACAGACACACATAGACCTTTCACTGATACGGGCTGACAGAAGCATAAAGAATTATTTCTTCAGCTGTGACTACAACATACCATTACCCTTTCTACTTCCCCCACACAGGAACAGATGCAGTGCAATAATCTATCTTAGACATCAAGCAACTACACAAAAGTAAACATACAGTATTGGAAGACAATATATATAATACTGTAACATGTATGTAGTTTATGTAGGCACAGGGGCGGGTCAAAGTTTATCATCTCTTTCTTGTTTTACATCGCCACAACTCCCATTTCCTCTCTCTGTATTAAACATAACACAGGAGAAGATAAAAATGCCATAAAGGGCTGACAAATGCCAATGCTGGACAATCTTGTTTAATAAAACAAACCTCAAAGACACACTCAATGACAAACTCAAGGCTAAAGTGCATCGAGTGCACACAGTCCATAAAGAACAAATCTGGAAAGGCAAAAAAACCAGACCGCCTTGGGACCACTGATCGTCTATTACTCTCACTGAAACAAAGCTTATGCAAGACATGATACCTCTGTCTTTCCAGCAATGTGGGTGTGTAAATCAGGGATTAAGGAGTGCTGTGTGACAAAGTAGCAGAGAGCCATCAGAAGGATAAACTAAGTTTTGGGGGAGATTGGACCACTGGTCAACTTCGCTTTTAGGAGAGAAGAATATAAACATCATCCTTCATGTGTCCGGTAGATTGTTTGCTCTGGTGCTCTCACTGCTTACAGTTGAGCATACATCATGATGAGCAACTGCTGGTAACAATCTCATAAATGTGATGGTTTTGTGCGTTTTTTAAAATTAGATTTTTCTTTAGAGACATGATGCATGTATATTGAATTGGAGTGCACTGTTGGACATTTCATTATTTTGTTCCCTGAATTTTGAGGATACTGCAGACTGCTAGGGGTTTAGTACAATGTTCTGTCCAGTTACATCATTTTAAATGAAACCTGCAAACGTTTTTTTGTATTGAGGGAAGTGGAAGCAAGTTCTGAAAACAAAATTGACATATCATCACCTTTTAAGTTGACATGTCTGACTTGCTTGCACTTGTACAGGTAAGGAGCAACATTATAATTAATTTGAAATCGCATTTATGTCCAATATTTACTCTCTTTTAGCTGTTTTTCGTCTCTACCAACTCCTGTGGGATTTATCTATCTCTTTAGCTCCACTATGTTCACCAGCTAGTCGCTGACTGTGTCTGTCTAATTGTACCCTTATGATGGTGCTAGATGAAAAGGATCACTGAACAGATTACAATTCATCATAAGGGGGACATTGAATGTGTGTACAAATTT